TCAACATAGATTAAGTTCCCTCTTACCCTGGCATCCGGGCATGCTTTGTTGAGGAAGATGTTAAATTCGGCTGGTGAGTTGGCATAGCCGAATGGGCACCTGGTGAAGGTGTACTGCCGATTGCAAAAGGTGAAAGCCAGCTTGTGTTGGTCATCTGGATGCACTGGTATAGTCCAAAATCCTGAGGCCACATCAAGAGTGGAGAAGATTGTGGCTCCTCTGATTCTTGGTATCTCCTGTTCCAGCTGGGTCATAGGCCATAGCGACAATGGCACCTGTTGATTCAGTTTCCTATAGTCGACGGTTGGCCGCCACTTGCCATTTGGTTTGAGGACAGGCCAGATGGGGGCAGAGTAGGTGCTGTTACACGGACGGATGACACCCTTCTCAAGCATAGAGTTGATCTCCTGTACTGGTTCGTACGATTCGAGGGGGATCTCTTGACGAAAGTGGGTGGAGCTTTTGGGTGCATTGGGACATGCACAACATGGAGATTAGTGAGGCCACAATCTAAAGAGTCCTTGGCAAATGATTCTTTGTATTTGTACAGGACTTGGCAGAGTTTGTGGCGGTCTGCATCCTTCTGTATGGCATCAGCATCTTTCAGGATTTGCTGGACTTGTGTCTCAAAACCTGGGTATGGCTCTTCTGTCATTAATTCCTCTGTGCCGTGGGCGGTCAGAGGTGCAGTCACGCTGTCATTTATGCAGGTGGAGTGGTTAGAGACCGTGTACACGGCAAAGTGTTGGTCTTCTGTTAGTTCTGTTCTACACACCTGCTCCTTGACCACTGGCATGACTGGGGTTATGGTGATGACCTTGGAGGGTGCTGTTGACACTGTGTGGCCTGAGCTTCCTCCCGGAATCATTGAATCTGGAATGGGTCCAATTATTGGTAAAATCAGTTCAAAGGCATGGAAGTCATAACTCACTAGCCATCCCAGACGGTAGGCCTTGGGCACTCTGACATCCGTTGCCGTGCAGTTGATAAACAGGATGTACACTGCCTGAGATGTCACTTCAACGAGGGGTGTCGCTTCCAAAGTGAGGCCCAGTTCCCCACATTTGGGTGAAGGTTGGAAGAAGCCTAGGGTGTGGCTGAGAGCTTGACCGCTTCGCAGGTTGAGTCAAACAGCGACCCCTTTGGTGTAAGCTGGTACTACAGTCTCTTGTTCATTGATTAGCGTGCAGGCCTCAGGGATGGTTTGGCCTGACAGGAGGTTCTCAAGGTTGACAGGAACTGTGGGTGACTGTGAGGTCATTGGAGCCCATATCACTTCATTGATCATGTCCACATGAGTCCTGAGGCGAATCAGCATGTCCGCTCCGATGTAGATGTCATGTGGTGTGTCTGGAAGGACCAGGAAGTAATGGGTTAGACATTTGTCATTCCACTTCAAGTTCAGGGCACAGATGCTCTTGGCAATCACCATAGTTGACGGGCAGGGATTCAAAGGGAATCGTGTGCGCTTGTTAGCAAAAGGAATGTTCGTTGTGTGCTGTTTGAGAGCATTGAACAGTGAGAGGCTGATGGTTGAATTGTCTGTCCACAGTGCTAGTATGGGGTCTGTTGTTGTGACATCATTCAGCTGTAAGCCCCATTTAACCTGGGGTCCGTATGAGTTAGAGTCTTTGGCTAGCTGGAAAGTACAGAGCAGCGACCTTGAACCTCGCTCTTGAGCCGAGACGTTCCCGCGGCTGGCGGCGAGATTTCCGTGAACTTTGTGACCTGGCAGTCTGTCTGGGGTGATCTTGGTGACTGAGGAGGCAGAGGTTCTCGCACTTGAGCCCAGATTTTCAGTTGTTTAAAATCTAACAATGGCTCAAAGCGGTCTAGCAGGT